GTGTGGAACTTTACACGAAGGAAGTGCATAATCGGCTAAATTTGTATCTTATGATTATCGTAATTCATAAATGAAATAGTATTATAAATATAAAAAACCCTTTATTTACCTAATTTGAAATTATTTTGAGCAATTTAGGCGGGTTAACTAGACCGTTGAATTATAATCGATTAAAAAAAATACGAGTAAATAACTGATTAGCTTTTTGGATAATGATAACTGCTGTGTTTGATATCCTAAAGTGTAACCAACATTATACAACATTATTCGATTACTATTAAACTTCGTAATCTTCATGAAATCAACTTTAAAATTGAAAGATTGAATTTTTTATAACCCGATTAGGTACTATAGTCCCGTTAGGCACCTGACTTTACACCGATGTTGATTTGACCGTGAACCGAAGTACACTAAAATCAAAATACACCAATATAAATTTTATATATTTTTATTTTTTCATTGGCAAAGTCTAGTGACTGGTTATACCTATACGGCTATATGCAGCTAAAAATGGACCGCTCTCAATAAAAATTATAGTAATAGACTTAGAGTTAATTTTGTTCAACCCCTAGCTGCTATGTGGTAGATATAAATAGTAGCTCCCACTAAAGTCACACATAATATACAATTTTTTTCAGCTCACAATAAAAGAATATTTTTTTGTTAATTTAAATAGTATCTATTAACATATTATATATTATTATATTACTATTCATATATTATTAGTGTAGACATATAGGACATATACATTTTTTTACAAATATACTTATAATCTTTGGCAGGGCAATTCCGAACGGAACAGCTAGTAGACAGTAGGTATATAATATCTAATCTACGAATAAATTATCATCCAATTTTTATCATATTAAAATATAAAACCGATAACAGAACATCAATAACGTTTCTCATATTATGTTTAATTATCGCTCTCCTACTGAGGTACAGTTCTACAGTCAAAAAAAAAAGTATTGTTAAATTGATAACCTTGTTAGTTGTTACAATATGTATATATATTTTTTTCTATATAACGCACTACGCAGTAAACTATAAACATCAAGCTGGCTTAATTTTTTTAATGATTATAATCCATTATTAATGAAGTATATTTACTAATATCTAATTCAGTATTTCTGTTTAATTATTAATTGGCATGCGTTAACTCATTTATGTACCACGAGTCCATGTATCATGTGGTAATAACTATTATGAATATTTTGCACGTGATTATTTACGCATAACACCTGTCATTTATTTAACAACGCATTTGAAAGTAAATAGCCACGGGTCCATGTAATGTTTACAAATACGAGATTATAAAATCATAATATTTACGAATCGGATATCACGTGCTTACGCATCAAAGGTACTTTCAAGATGAAGTTTAAACTGTAAATTTGCAATTTGAAAAATCACGCAAAAAAATAAATTATAGATTATATCAGTAGATAATATAGTAGTAACATAGGTACCAAAAACATTAAAACTGATAGGTATAATCTAAATAGGTATTGAACAAAAATTATAAACAAAACTACATTTTCAACAAATTATAAAGCTACGCATTTATTGTTGTAGCAGTAATAGTCAGTGATAAATGATAATTATACAGTTAGTACACGGACACGGACAAATTTATCGCTCCTCTCAGAATCTAAAACGAATTTATTCAGAAATCTATCTATTTTTGTGATAAATTATATGATTTGATGCACAATAATTATTATTCATTAAGAAACTATAGATTTTTTTTACAATAAGCACCAATAACCATTTGAGTACCTGCAGGTACCTGCAGATATAATTGTAAATTTATAATTATTCTAATCAGTTTTTTGGTCAAAATTAATTAAATACAAATTGTACAAATGTTTTTAAAAAATAATATGTAATTATATACAATTACAATAAATATGTCAAATCGGGTATATTGGTATAATATATAAGTATTAACTGTTAAGTAGGTATATAATATATACTTTAATTTATATTCTCTCATATCATATTTTGACATATTTACTCAGTTAAGTAGTCTACTATAATACCACTATAGTATACTCTATGCTTTAAGTATAATATATTATGTGTTATTTAATATTGTAATACTAAAATATAAAAATAATATATTAAAAAAAATATACTATAAGTTAAATTTTATACCGACTGTTCAAATTTCATTGTAGAGGCATAAAATGTATAGTCGTCGTCGTCGTCATAAATATGTATCATATTTGCATGGGTTATAATAACAATATCGTTATATACGCTCAACGCTCGACTAAATATTAAGTATTGAGATCACGGTGCATTGCATTATTTTAATAAAATTAATAAAGGCAACACAATATAACAAATAACAATAGACCCTGTATATTGACAAGAGGGGAATTAATAACTTCAAGCGTGATGCTGCCATAGTATGTCTATTCTGTGATACTGCGCTGTATAGAAATCATTTAGCTATGGTAACAAACAAGTGAACGGCTAACGTTATTTATATACATAAATATTAAAATATTAATATTAATATAGGAATATGTAGTTTTGATTCAATTTTATTTTAGTTGAATTCAAAACGTTTATGAATTATGGATCACCCAGAAGTTATTTATACCTAAAAGAAATAATGTTTAACATAAAATATAAACAAAATAATACTCGTGGCATACGTATCATCTAAGTTATATACCTAAGTGTCTAATTATATAGATACGACTATATAATATTATGACTTTTAATTTGTATCATTAATATTCTAAAAAATTATGAAACTCAGTCAGAATTAGTAGTCCGGTTTCATTCATTTTTATTTTTTATGTATATAATTATATTATCCAATATTCCGTAAAAAAACATATATGAGGGGATACTGTATAATACACTTGATATAGAAACATTATATGAAAAGGATACAGCAGATGCTACTGGAGTCAACTAAGGGTGTAATGCTAATCGTATATCATAACACGCGGTTAAACGGAGGGCGACAGTGTTATTGAACAAATCAAAATATGTAGGGAGGCTTAGCTCGAATGCCCTCATTTAGCAAAATATTTATTAAATTTGACATGCGTTTCGACACACGACTGATGCCGTAACAAATTAAATAATTTTCTAGCGCTTAATATATATTATTATTTCATACATATATACTGAGTTCAAAGAAGGATTTGTATATTATATAACTCATATACGTCATAAATCATCCTAATATCTACTGCTGTCGTAATAAATGAAATTACATTTTTTGCCAAAATATATCAATACATTTCATTGTTTTGAGTTTTCGTAGTCCAGAAAATATGTTCAACGTCCATACCTATTAATAAATCATTGTTTATTATGTTCAAAATATTCAAATGTATAAAAATCATATAACTTTCTAAAAAATGTATAGAAGATATAATATAATTTATACTTATAGGTAGGTACAATATGTTCTCACTCCTTTTTTTTAAAAAAACATTTTAATTATTAGGTTTAGCTCCGAGCCTGCGAATCGTATTATTTATTTAGGTAAATAGGTAATCCACTAATATAATATAATATATATCATAATTTATAATACATACGGTACCTATGTAGCTTTAATTAAAAACTGTAAAAAGTATATAATTAACAGTAAAGCATCAATATATCGAAGTTTCAAATTCTTGTTAATGTTTTAGGAATTATGTAAAAACATTTTTGTCATATGGTTTGAATTCGTTAAAAAATAACAGTTTGAAAACAAATTATATTTCTACTATTTTTTCATTGTTATAATTTTTGAAGTGTTTTTACTTTTTTGAATGACGAACATTTTTAATTTTATATTCTTATAAGCAGAAACCATTCATTTTTATTATATATAAATTTCTAATATCATGTAATAATTTATATTTTAGTTTTTTTTTCTTAGTATTGGTAAAAATGATTAGCTCGGCCAAAAAGCATTAAAATTTAAAACAAGATTCCTTATAAGCTTTACTCATGAATTATTGGAAAATATCCAATGTGTTTAAAGTTTAAATATTGACAAAATTCGTTAAAATCACGAAAATCCCATAAGGTATTATACAGTTTAAAATGTATTTAATTTTAAAATTTAATAGTTATATAGCCATATAGGGCTTGACAATTTAATACATGGTTCTTCAAAAGTATTTTGGTCTTATAGCATTAAAATAAAATTCTTTCATAATTCTTTTGTACGGACTACGGACACTTGAAGTTCTGATAATTGTTTTTTTTATACACAATGGTATTTTCAAAATATTTAGACTAACTATGTTATGCAATGATTTATCGTTGCAGCATTCAAATGTATAAATGTATAATACATCCATTAGTCATTACAGTGACCTACTCAATGGCAATATACAATCGAAATCTACTATACGGCAGAGCGAATTCTAGTGTTTTTTAATATTAATAATAATGCATATATTTAATTAATATGATTAATTTATATAAGTAATGTAGGTATATTTAAATATGTATATATATAGATATATACAGTAAAATCATATAGAAACTGTCTATAAGGATACCTAAACCAAATGATTATTTTAAATTTTAAATATATTTCCATTGAATGCCGGTGGGAAAAATTACGATTTTACCAATAGAATACAAATATCAAACAAAAGGTAGGTAATATATAAGTATAGGTATTATACAAATATCTTCTTCAAAGTTATAAGAGACTTCCGTATTTATATTTTATAGGTACAGTAGATATACCGCTATACTAAAATGCACTAAAAACGTAACATAGTTCTTATTTTTTTTTCTTTTTGATTATCAACAGTTCAAGTAATGAATTTAGTTAGACATTTTTATGATTTGTAGACAACTACAAAATAATATTTCAAGACACCAGGAGGGTTGAAACGGACCAACACCTGCTTGCATCACCATTGGCTGATACGATGGACCAATATCAAGCTTTTACAAAAAGGGAAATACGCCCCCGGTAAACTCGCTGTACTTGCTCTCATATTCTGAAGCACTGCACAACGATGAGCAACGGATTTGCAACTACGGGCCATACACCCACTTGGGATTCGAGTTTGACGAATACAGTAAGTTGACAATTTTTAACAAATATCTAGAATAATTAATAGTTGTTAATGTGAAAAAAATATTTTTATAACTTTTTCAGTTAAATTGCTTTGTATACAATTTTAACAAGGACCGCCGCTAGTTATGAGATTTCATCATATAATAGCATATAATACTATTAAGGCAAGCACTTCGAATTCAGCTCTTTTCATATTATATTATATTAACAACTTATCCTTTTTTTAATCTCAATAAGTTTTTAAAACTTTTTTAAATGATGCCTATGTTCTTATATTTGTGCTTATTTTCGCACTTTTTAATCCTTATTGGATACGCATAAAGTCCTAAATTGCATAATGTCTAACAATATAGTAATAAGTAATAACAAATATCCGGCTTATAAATTACGTAGATGATGTCGATGTGACACTATATATGTGTAGTTCGATATAGCTGCTCTGGCTGCATTAGTTATATACATTTATATTATTTTATTATATTATAATTTATTAAACAATTCATTTTTAGAATAATACTAAATATATTACATTATTACACGTTGACAGGATAGTCAAAGTTATGATGAATGTTGGCCGGACGCTCACCTCTATCATCACCATCACCACTTACACCACCACCATATTCACCAACACTCGACTACAGTATCTCAAATGTGGCCAAACCCGCATAACCACGGTCCGCAACAGAGTATAAATCAAAATGCTGTTCCCAGGTAATATTTATATTATTTATTATTCTATATACTTAGGTCTATAATATACAATTTTCGGATACCATATTATAATGTATATTATATCGTTTTCCCGTGTTCGCTGTATGGTGAAATACAGTGATCTACTTCAAGTATGTACTTACAGGGAAATGGGAATACATAAGTATATGATTGATATAATTATTCAATACAGATTGAAAAAAAACTAGGAAACCTACTTATGTCGAGACATGACCCTATCTGATATACGCCCTATATTATTGTGTGGACGACTTATAGACTTATAGTACTGCCGTGCTGAGTACCTACTTGTATTTTAGATTCTGAGTGAAACGATGAATGTATTGATTTTACAATGATATGTGTTTTATTTTTTTTTATTTTTGTGTCTGTCATCACCTTTTAGGACAGTAAAAATGATTGGATTTTCTTCAACAGTATCGTTTCTGATAGGAAAAGGAATCTAGTTGGTACTTTGGGGGGTTAAAAGTAAAAATTTTCCAGTAGTTTTCAAAAGCGCCGTGAAAAACAAAATAAAAATTAAGGGAAAACTGGAATTTGTACGCAAAATCTGTTTTCGAAAAAATTGATTTTGGTTTTTGGTACAACTCTTAAACAAATGACCGCAGGTAGGTACATGAAATTTTGACTGAATGTTTATATTAGCATTTTATATACACCAAGACATTTTCCAAATATTTTGAGCTGTTTACAGACATTTTCAGTTTCCATTTTTTTTTAGTTTTATTTTCTATAAATATCAATACAATTTTATTTGTTGGTTAAAAAAGCTTGACAATTTAATAGAAGGCTACTAGTATATTGTTTGAAAAGCAAATGAAAAAAATTATAAATCCATACTCACAATTTTTTTTATAAACATTTAAAGTTCAAATATTGACAAAATACGTAAAAATGGCGAAAATTTGCAAATTATTTCGAGTTTCTAATTCATAAAAAATTTTCTTTTTAAATCTAAGATTTAAAAATGTAATACAAGATTCCTCATAATTTGCCTACCTTTTCAAAAAAAAGAATATCTACAAGAAACTAAAATTAAATTTTATGAGCGTTTGAAATTCATATTTTTACAACATTTGATATTCACTCGATTTCTCATGTAATGATTTTCTTATTTTGTTGTCATTAAAAAACGAATGACTGTAGATACTTGAAAATTTCACTGAATGTTTATATTAGCATTTCCTATTCACCATACACATTTGAAAATAATTTGACTCTTTTTAAGTTGTTTACGGACATTGTCAGTTTTCAATTTTTTTATTTTTTTTTCTATAAATATCAATAAAATGTTATTTGTTGGGTAAAAAAACGTGAAAATTTAATGCAAAGCACGTGATATATTGTTACAATAGCAGTTGAAAAATATTAAAAATACATTGGCTCAAATTTTTTTTTTATAAGCATTTAAAGTTCAAAGTTTGGCAAAATTTATCACATTTAAAATTTAATAATAATTTTGTAGTTAAAAATGTATTAAATGTTTAACTTTTGTAGCTTAGGATTAAAATTTAAACAAGGTTCCATTTAAATAGATAAATATATAAATTACTTTATTCACCTTATAATATCATCAAATATACTTCGTATTTATTTTTGTTAGATAGAGGAATATTTTTTACAGGGCGCATTGGACTTCGATTTTTGATTACGTCGCTAAAAACAAAAAATAATACAAAAACTAAAAAGTTGTAAAAATTGATTAAATTCAAACTTGTAACATAAGACTTAGAAAAATAATGTTGAAAATCCAAGTCCAATGCGCCCTGTAAGAAGTCTTCCTCTATCTAACAAAAAAAAAATTACGGAAATCGGACCAATCTACGAGGCGTGAGAGTTTTTCCTGTAAGGCATGTTTTTGAGCAAAAAAACAGGTCGCGTGCAGGCCCCTTAAATATAATACAATTAATTTGGTTTGGTTCTCAAAAATGTCTTTAAATGGAAGTTAATTGTATGGAATTTTTACTGTTATAACTTATAAGTATAGTATATGATTACAAAAGCTTATAAAAATCGAAATTATTGACTAGACACAATTGAGTATGAAGAGTAAATAATATATTATATAGCTGGTACTAAATGTTACTTTACTTGGTTATTTTAGATTTTAATCATATAGGTACTTTTTTCATACCTAGCAGTTTGTTTTATTCACTGTTTTGGACTAAGGTTGATACTTGATACAACATGATATTTTTTTAATACTATAAAAACAGTAGGTAGGTAGGTATTTACGAGCCACGAGTTACCTACCTTATATTAAAATAACTAGCAAAATAATAAAACAAAGCGTTACCATGATTTTAGAAAATTAGAGATTAGAAAAAATGTAAACGTGTACTTGTTATTACTTAGGTACCTATTTCTTATTTTAACGAGACAATTTTTAAAGAGAGGGTAATATGACTATAGGAGTGTTGCTAAGACTAAATCAAACCTATATTTGTGTGTTTTATATACTTATTTATTTAAATATTTACAATCTTAGTAATCTTACTACCTAATAATACATCATGACATCATGTAAAAGTTTGTGAGAAAGTTATTGGTATCTTATGTGAGTTATGTCTTGGTTTATATGAGTTTGAATCCGCATCCATTGACACCACAGTGTCATGGTCCAAAGTTCTTAACTCAATCATTTTTATTAAATTTATTATTTAATTTGATTTTATTAGTTTATTACTAATTGTTTTTTTTATATTTTTATTTTTTACTATGAATCATATTTAATATTTGGAATTATTATAAATTAAACAATAGGGAAACCCGAGTACCTATAAAATTATATAATATAAGATATGACTATACTTATGAGTTATGAGATTATGACTATATGAGTAAATATAACATACGTGAGATAAGATAGAACCGTATACGTTCAAAAGAAGTAGTATATAATATATATGTACATTAGTACATTGTACCTACTTGTATAATCTATACATCTATAATATACCTATATATTATAGTTATTACTACCTAAATTATAATATATAATAGTAATATAGTGTGCAATCATTTGATATTTCTATAGGTACAATTAAAATAAAAATTTAAAAATTTAAAATATATGGATAAGCAGCAAATGCAGGTATTTAAGTAGGTACCTAATTGAATAGGTACCTGCCTGTTTATGCAAAAATGCACTTACTTTTTTGCATGTTTTATATATTGTATAAAATTGTTTTACGCGAGTATTGGAGTATAATAAGTAGGTATCTACTAAATCATCCATTGTGAATATTAAAATACCTATAACATAAATAAATTGTACTTTGATCTTTGAATTTCGGCACAAGCTTTTAGCTTTTGTAAAAGACGCTATAACATTTTTTTATTATATTGATTGGATTTACCACGGCACTTAATAAAATAATAAATTATTATTATTATTTTCTTTTTATCAATCATAATATGCGATATGCTTCGACAGCTATAGGGGTAAATAGCTTTTCTATCTTTAATATTGTAACGGTTAATAACGCCTTAATAATTAAATAATGTAATATTGAGATACCTATACCATATTGAGATGTATAGAAAAAAAATGGAAAATTGAATATGTCTATAAATAGCTCAAAACGAGTTAAAGTATTTAGAAAATGTTCATGTCACAAAATGAGAAATTAGTTCTATGAGAATTTGTTAATTTACAGGTGAAAATCATATGTGTTAAACCTCTATTTATTGACTGTCCAGTTGCTTTTTTTTTTTTTGTTAAATGTAGGATTACAATTACTTATAAGTATAATAACTTTTGTATTACATTTTCAAATCTTAGATCTGGCCACCTAAATTTATAATTTTTTACGAATTTCTAACTCGAAGTCAAAAAATTTGAAAATGTAATACAACGTTATGTCTAAGATGTTGTTAGATGAAATTAAAAAAAAAGTTGAGCTTAAATTCACAATATTTTTTTATAAGCGTCTGAACTCTAATGATAAAATGTTGACAAACTTCAAAATCACAAAAATAGGCAAATTATTTCTATTTAGAAATTCATATACAATTTTCTATATGTAGGTATTTCTAAGATTTCAAACTTTACAACATTTCCTTTATTTTTCTTACAATTAACAAAAACAAAAGTTAACTGGAAACTGGAAAGTCAAATACATTTTTTACGAGCGTAAGAAGTTAATTATCAAATTCTCATACACGATTTTCTTATTTTGCTGTTATTCAAAAACTAATAATCGTACAGACGTACAGTTAGGTACTTAAAATTGTCATAAAATGTTCATTTGATCATTTTCTATATATGATAACATTTTCAAAATATTTTGTCTCGTTTTGAGTTATTTATAGATATTTGAAGATTTCAGTTATTTTGTTTTTTTGTTTTATAAATGTCAATAAAATTGTATTCTTTAGGCCAAAAAGCATGAAAATTGTATGCAAGATTCCTTTTATGTTGTTATAATAGTAATTGATAAACATTAAAGATCTAAATACACATTTTTTTTTATAAGTATTTTTAGTTCAAATTTGGACAAAAGTACAAAACTACATATAAATCAAGAATAACGATTTTAGTTATTTTGTTTTAACTAAAAAATATTATTCGTGGCCCGTGGGGACTTGAGACTTTTAGAGTACATTATTAAATTGAATACTGTTATATTGTACTGCGTAGGTACACACAATGACATTTTAAAATTAAATTTTTTCGGCTAATATTAATTTAACGTCTATAATGGTAAAATAAATTACTTTAATCACAATAATATCATAAAAATTACTTAGTACCTAATATTATAGGCTGACAGACTGTCTTCGCTCAGAATCGTTTTTCGTATATGGTGATTATTGAATTTAAATTTAACACATACATTACAGTGACACCTAATGAGGGTTACTCACTTAGGTACCAGCTTTTTTAATACAATCAAGCATATTTCTATGTTTTGTACATTTATTTTTAAAATAATTAAAGTATTTATTATCAGGGGTACCTACATTTTTTTTCAATA